AACAAGTGTATGTGATACTGACTGGTCCATATAAGTGTATGTGATGCTGACTGGTCCATACAAGTGTAAATTATGCTGACTGGTCCCTCCAAGTATATCTGATGCTGACTGGTTCATACAGGTGTATGTGATGCTGACTGGTCCGTACAAGTGTATGGGATGCTGACTGGTCCATACAAGTGTATGTAATGCTCACTGGTCCGTACAAGTGGATGAGATGCTGACTGTAATTGATGCTGTCTGGTGCATAAAAGTGTATGTGATGCTGACTGGTCCATACAAGTGTATGTGATGCTGACTGGTCCATACAAGTGTATGTGATGCTGACTGGTCCACACAAGTGTATGTGATGCTGACTGATCCATACAAGTGTATGTGATGCTGACTGATCCATAATAGTGTAATTGATGCTGTCTGGTGCATAAAAGTGTATGTGATGCTGACTGGTCCATACAAGTGTATGTGATGCTGACTGGTCCATACTAATTTAAGTGATGCTGTCTGGTCCATACAAGTGTATATGATGCTGACTGGTCCATACAAGTGTATATGATGCTGTCTGATCCATACAGGTGTATGTGATACTGACTGGCCCATACAAGTGTATGTAATGCTGAGTGGTCCATACAAGTGTATATGATGCTGACTGGTCCATACAAGTGTATGTGATGCTGACTGGTCCATACAAGTGCATATGATGCTAACAGGTCCATACAAGTGTATGTGACGCTGTCTGGTCAATACAAGTGTAACTGATGCTGACTGTTCCATACAGGTGTATATAATGCTGACTTGTCCATACAAGTATGTCTGATGCTGACTGATCCATACAAGTACAAGTGATGCTGACTGATCCATACAAGTGTATGTGATGCTGACTGGTCCATACAAGTGTATGTGATGCTGACTGGTCCATACAAGTGTAAATTATGCTGACTTGTCCATACGTGATGCTGACTGGTCCATACTAATTTAAGTGATGCTGATCCATACAAGTGTATATGATGCTGACTGGTCCATACAAGTGTATGTGATGCTGACTGATCCATACAAGTGTATGTGATGCTGACTGATCCATACAAGTGTATGTGATGCTGACTGGTCCATACAAGTGTATGTGATGCTGACTGGTCCATACAAATGTATGTAATGCTGACTTGTCCATACAAGTGTATGTGACGCTGTCTGGTCAATACAAGTGTATGTGATGCTGACTAATCCTTAAAAGTGTATGCGGTGATGACTGGTCAAAATAAGAGTATATGATGCTGACTGTTCCATACAAGTGTATGTGATGCTGACTGGTTCATACAAATGTATGTGATGCTGACTGGTCCATACTAGTGTAAGTGATGCTGTCTGGTCCATACAAGTGTATATGATGATGACTGGTCCGTACAAGTGTATGTGATGTTCACTGGTTCATACAAGTATATCTGATGCTGACTGATCAATACATGAATATCTGATGCTGACTGGTATATACAAGTGAAGGTGATACTGACTGGCTAATACAAGTGTAAATGATGGTGACTGATCAATATATGTTGATCTGATGCTGACTGATCCATATAAATCTATGTGATGCTGACTTGTCCATACTAGTGTATCTGATGCTGACTGGTCCATACAAGTGTATGTGATGCTGACTGGTCCATACAAGTGTATGTGATGCTGACTGGTCGATACAAGTGTATATGATGCTGACTGGTCCGTACAAGTGTATATGACGCTGACTGGTCCATACAAGTAAGTGATGCTGACTGGTCCATACAAGTGTATGTGATGCTGACTGGTCCATACAAGTGTATGTGATGCTGACTGATCCATACAAGTGTATGTGATGCTGTCTAGTCCATGCAAGTGGATGTGACGCTGACTGGTCCATACAAGTGTGTGTGATGCTGACTGGTCCATACAAGTGTATGTGATGCTGACTGGTCCATACTAATTTAAGTGATGCTGTCTGGTCCATACAAGTGTATATGATGCTGACTGGTCCATACAAGTGTATGTGATGCTGACTGATCTGTACAAGTGTATGTGACGCTGTCTGGTCCATACAAGTGTATGTGATGCTGACTGATCCATACAAGTGTATATGATGCTGACTGGTCCATACAAGTGTATATGATGCTGTCTGATCCATACAAGTGTATGTGATGCTGACTGGTCCAAACAAGTGAAAATTGTGCTGACTGAACCCTACAAGTATCGCTGTTGCTGACTGGTCCATACAACTGTATATGATGATGACTGGTCCATACAAGTGTATGTGAGGCTGACTGATCCATAGAAGTGTAAATGATGCTGACTGATCCATACTAGTTTAAGTGATGCTCTCTGGTCCATACAAGTGCGTGTGATGCTGATTGTTCCGTCGATACAAGTGCATGTGATGCTGACTGATCCAAACAAGTGTATGTGATGTTGACTGGTCCATACAGGTGTATATGATGCCGACTGGTCGTAACAATTGTATGTTATGCTGACTGGTATACACAGGTGAATGGTAAGCTGACTTTTCCATACCAGAGTATATAATGCTGTCTGGTCCATACAAGTGTATGTGATGCTGACTGGTTCGTACAAGTGTATTTTAATGTTGACTGGTTCAAACAAGTTTATCTGATGCTGACTAATCCTTCGAAGTGTATGTGATGCTGACTGGTCCATACTAGTTTAAGTGATGCTGTCTGGTCCTTACAAGTGTATATGATGCTGACTGGTCCGTACAAGTGTATATGACGCTGACTGGTCCATACAAGTGAATGTGATTCTGTCTGGTCATACAAGTGTAGGTGATACTGACTGACCCATACAAGTGTTGATGATGCTGACTGTCCATACAAGTGTATGTGATGCTGACTGGTTCAATAAGTGTATATGATGCTGACAGGTCCATACAAGTTGATGTAATGCTGAGTGGTCCTTAAAAGTTGATGTGATGCTTAATGGTCGATATCAGAATATGTAATGCTGACTGATCCATACTAGTTTAAGTGAAGCTGTCGGGTCCATACAAGTGTATATGATGCTGACTGGTCCATACAATTGTATGTGATGCTGACTGGTCCATACAAATCTATTTGATGATGACTTGTCCATACAAGTGCATGTGCTGCTGACTGGTTCTTACAGTTGTATGTGATACTGACTGGCCCATACAAGTGTAAATGATGCTGACTGGTCCACACAAGTGTATATGATGATGACTGGTCCATAAAAGTGTATGTGATGCTGACTGGTTCTTACAGGTGTATATGATGCTGACTGGTCCATACAAGTGTATGTGATGCTGACTGATCCATACTAGTGTAAGTGATGCTGACTGGTCCTCACAGGTGTATGTGATGGTGACTGGTCCACACCAGTGTATATGATGATGCTGACTGGTCCATACAAATGTATGTGATGCTGACTGGTCCACACTAGTGTATCTGATGATGAGTGGTCCATACAAATCTATGTGATGCTGACTTTTCCATACAAGTACAAGTGATGCTGACTGATCCATACAAGTGTATGTGATGCCGACGTGTCCATACAAGTTGATGTCATGCTGACTGGTCCATACAAATGTATGTGATGCTGACTGGTCCATACAGGTGTATGTGATACTGACTGATCCATAAAAGTGTATGTGATGCTGACTGGTCCATACAAGTGTATGTGATGCTGACTGGTCCATACAAGTGTATGTGATGCTGACTGGTCCATACAAGTGTATCTGATGCTGACTGATCCATACAAGTGTATGTGATGCTGACTGGTCCATACAAGTGTAAATTATGCTGACTTGTCCATACAAGTATGTCTGATGCTGTCTGGTCCATACAAGTGTATGTGCTGTTCACAGGTCCATTCAACTGTATATGATGTTGACTGGTCCATACAAGTGTATGTGATACTGACTGGTCATACAAGTGTAGGTGATACTGACTGGCCCATACAAGTGTATGTGATGCTGACTGGTCCATACAAGTGTATCTGATGCTGACTGGTCCATACAAGTGTATGTGATGCTGACTGGTCCATACAAGTGTATGTGATGCTGACTGGTCATACAAGTGTAGGTGACACTGACTGGCCCATACAAGTGTAAATGATGCTGACTGGTCCACACAAGTGTATGTGATGCTGACTGGTCCATACAAGTGTATATGATGCTGACAGGTTCATACAAGTGTATATGATGTTGATTGGTTTATATTGGTGTTTGTGGTGCTGAATGGTCCATACAAGTGTATATGATGCCGACTGGTCCATAAAAATGTATGTGATGCCGACTGATCCATAAAAATGTATGTGGTGCTGACATGTCTATACAAGTGTATGTGATACTGACTGGTCCATACAAATGTATGTGATGCTGACTGGTCCATACAAGTGTACGTACTGCTCACTGGTCCATACAAATGTATGTGATGCTGATTGGTCCATACAGGTGTATGTGATGCTGAATGGTCCATACAAGTGTATATGATGCTGACTAATATATACAAGTGTATGTTATGCTGACTGGTATATACAAGAGTATGTGATCCTGACTAATCCATACAGGTGAATGTAATGCTGAGTGGTCCATACCGGAGTATGTAATGCTAACTGATCCATACTAGTTTAAGTGATGCTCTCTGGTCCATACAAGTGCGTGTGATACTAACTAATCCATACAAGAGTATGTGATGCTGACTGGTCCATGCAGGTGTATATGATGCTGACTGGTCAATTGAGGTGAATATGATGCCGACTGGTCGTTACAATTGTATGTAATGCTGACTGGTATACACAGGTAAATGTGATGATGACTTGTCCATACCAGAGTATGTAATGCTGAGTGGTCCATACAAGTTGATATGATGCTGACTGGTCCATACTAGTTTAAGTGATGCTGACTGGTCTATAACCATACCCGACAGTATCTAGTACACATGCCTATATATCCAAATTTATCTTGATTTGATACCATGGAAACAGCACCACGTATAAACTGATAGTTTTAAAAGGTATACTTTATTGTTCGTTTGGACAGGTATGTTATGGCAGGAGGTGAAGCAGGTGTACAGTGCAGGCATTTACGATTACTTTGACTCCCTCTACAACTACTTGGACGTAGCTGTGCTTACGCTGTACATTACCTCATTTACCCTACGATACATCACAATAATGAAGGTGAGTCTTCTTTCAAGAGCATACACATTTCTATCGGGAAATGTGTGTATGAATATACCATAACAGTTAAAGTTGCTTTAGGTTATAAAATACAGAAAGACGATATTAAAAAAAAATATACCTAGTGTGATATCTCGCTTAATTGTGAACGTCCTCATATTCTCATTACATTGGCATTTATTTCAATCACCTTGGATTTCCGTCAATCGCCTCATTGTCTTCACAATTCAAGCCCTAAGCATCAATAGGCTCTATTCACGCGATACTACTTCCGGTTTTCAAAACGTGGTTAAGGGTGCTTCCTCGGCAACAGCTGTGATGGACGCCACGGAGAAGCAGATGAAGACTAATTTTCATTGCTGTGTGCCAAAGTGCAACGGGGACAGCAGACGGCACCAGGAGTTGTCTTTCCACCGTTTTCCTCGGGAATTGAAAAGATCTGGACGATTTGTTGCTTACTTACAAATTTTCAAGGAAAGTCATTTTAGCTTTACAAAACTGGTATATGTAATACTGGCATACTATGATACATCTATATGCATGTACAGAAGTGTAATTAGTTTCAACATGTTGTGTATATGTGTGTGTATTTATATATATATATACACCTAAGTGATATATTCTGGATAGATTAATCACAATTTATCAAACCAAAATATATACAGCTGTATATAATTTCAGCTGAAAGTACTTACATTCTAGATATTCTTGATTGACACCTTTTTTTGAATTGTTTTAGAAACAGTAAATTATCTGCTGATTAAATAAATACACAGGTGTTTGGAACCCATGTCTCTAAAAGTAATATCTGTATAGATGTAGTCCAGAAGATTGTTCATATTTACACCCAGTGATATTTAATATATTTTTACTAGTTGAAAATATGATTTAATTACATGCTTGTTGTGCATTGTACAGAGGTAGCAGGAAACAGTTAATTTGCACTTTTTCTGCAATTATTGGTCATGTTTGAGATATACAGGTATAGCATTTTAATTATGAAAAATACACCCTTACATGTATATATATTTATAAACTACATAAACATTACATTAATACTGGAGGAATAAAAAACGTGTAAATTAAAAATATCCTCTGATTTCTGACATGTAATTGCCATGGTTACCAACTCCAAAAATGCAAAAAATGCAAAAATACTGCTAATTTGAACCTAACACTACAACTTTGTAGGAGAAATTTATGTCTGGACACCTGTCTTAAAATCAAAAACACTGTCATGGTAACAAATTACATACATTTCAGCAAATTCCAACTCAGAAATCTTTCACAACATGACCATATGTAAGCACTATGAAAATTTCACTTCCTTTGACTGTGTAGACACAGATTCCTGACCACCAAAATAGTAATCTACAACACAAACCAAAAATATTATTCTGAAAAATATGAAACCCCACACTCTCCACTTCAAAATGACCAGACCATTTTTAGCAAGGATTTATTTTTTAAATTTTAATTAAATCCTTTAAAATGGGGTAATCTAATGATTAAAAAATCACCCATGGTCACACCGAGAAACTGTGTACCAGAGGAATCCTCTTAATATCACTTACCATTTGTCAGAAAAATAATGTAATATTAACTGAAATGTGACATAAACAGAAGATGTGTTTTGCTGCAATCAAAACCAGAAGTGGATTTGCTCAATACCTCATCCCTGTGGTACTGTCCAGAAAGGTGCTAAATAAAAATATTTTGAACTTGCTTTGCATTCAACAAGTTGGTTTAACATAGTAACTTCTTTAATTTCATTTCATTTATGCAATATAGATTAAATCTCTATCAATTTTCAATTGTACACATGAAAGGCTTTCCATTTGTAAGCCTATATCTACGTCACTACAACAGGAGTTCAATTTGGAGACTGACGTGTAATGAAACAAATAACACATGTTAGGCAAGATTGGCATTCATTAGAGACACAGAATATTTTGCCTTTCATCCAGAGGTAAACCCCCTGTATACATTACAGGTACATGTGTGTGAGGTTAGTTTATTGTTTGAATGTCAGTCAGGTGTGAAAAAGCATAGTATTGTTACATAACACCCAGTCCTCAGGGCATAATTATTTCAGGTAACCATCATTTTACTGTGATTTTTCTGTGATTATGGATAGAAAAAAATGATAATAAGAGAAGTCTTCATTAAAACAAGTGACATTAAAAGAATTAAATTACATAGATTACAGCTTGTGGTTGTGTACGCATACATAATCCATGTACTTTATTAAACAGAAGAGCTACATGTATAACTCTTTCCTGATCAATGAGCTTGTTCAATTTTTGACTTTGGCAAATAATAACTGAAATAGAACAAATCTAATGTCTTCTGCCACTTTTCTGGATTGATTTTAATTCTCTCCAAATGGTAGTCATTTCTGCACATAACAAACAAATCACACCACTGTACACCTGTCAGGCCCATTTGGCCCATAATTTGATAAAAGTATTCATGTGTGGTCTTCAGTTTGCAAGTACTAGTATTATCTACCAAAGATCTGTTATAAAATCTGTATTTGGACATTTTATTTCTAAAAGTCCATGTATGGGTAGCATAGATGGATCAATGACTTTCCTGTCTGGTGACGTTCCCAAATGGCAACAGGAAGGATTGATCACTAAGCCGGCATCATACACATTGTTGCCTGTAATAGTACCATAGAAATCAGCAGCTTCCTGCTCGTGTTCAATGCCGAATTTCATAGCAGATGTTTGCACTTTATTTCCTTTGACCAAGATATCAGCAAGGATGTTGTAATCTTTTTTCCTAGAGCAGACACGTTTAAAAACTGATGATATTAAACATTTTTTTTTTTCGTGCATTTTTCCAATAAGGGTTTTTGTATTGTTCCAAAGTGGTTTTTTTTTTTTTTTCTATATCAATACTTTGCGATGTTGTTACTTTTAATCCGTCATAAACATTTTGCTCACCCATTTGTAGAACTACCTCAAAATTCCTAGCAATGTCTGGCATTTCATAGTCTGGATATGTTGGATAATCTGTATGATTTATGATATTTGAGTTGTCTTGAAATGTTTTTTGTTGATATGACAAAACTGATCCTTTAGGTACAGGTCCACCTTTTGTGTCAACAGTTTCCATAGTATCTATAGAAACTGGTAATAATGTTTTAAGCTGAGCATTGGTTGATTGAAGTTGTGTATTTAAGTTTGTGACAATGTTCTGGAATGGAAGTGGTTGTTGTACTGGACAATAAAATTTAGACTTGACACCATCTGTTCTTTTTCTTTTGAAATTTGAAATTTTTTTAACCTTTATGTCATCAACAGCCTGTGGCGTGAGACCTTGCATCCGCTGGGGGATATGCCAAGTTTGAGGCATTGATGTTTTAGAAATGACACATGGTACAGTTTTCAAATCAAGTTTTTGATAATGGTTTAAAGTATACAATAAACCAAGAATGTGCATGTGCAGTTACAATTTACAATAGATATAATTGACTTCATGGAAAGGTGCAAAACATGTGGGGGATCATTTTTCTTCATGGAAGGAAAACATTTGGCTTTGATGTCACACCCCAATCCTGTAGAAAATGGTCTCGCTGAAATGGCATAAAATAATCTTGTCTGAGATGATTGAAGATGACTGATGATGTTGACCCAGGCCAAAGTTGGCGGATAATTTAAACAGCTTCTTTGAGGTACTATACAATTTGGACAGTTCTTTGAGGATAATAAGTAGTTTTATATTTTGCTTTAGCAGTTATTTCAAACTGCCATTTTTGGGGTGTAACTTTCTACAGTGTATATACATGTAGTATATTTAAACTTGATGTAGACAATCTTGGCCTTGACAGTCCAGCATAGCAGGCCTCTTAACAGTCATTTATATAATGATATGAACATTTATCAGTTTAAACTCATTTAAATATTTTTGCCAAAATAACTGCTACCAAACTGCGAAGGCTAAGAAACCTGCTAAGGACAGCTCATTATCTGTCAAGGGTGGTAAATCATTTGCATAGACACTCCTAATAATAATAATAACTGACTGATAAGGTATGGGAATGTGAAGGTCAAGAAACTGCCTTCCACTTTGACATGGGGATCGATGATGAAACTGATAAATGTAGATCTCAGATGGTGATGATGGTTGATGATAAAAAACCCTGTCATATGATGAATTCTCTGAGTGATATTTTATTTATCAAAAACGTCTTTAAAAAATAAACAATTGCTGATGGTAATTATAATAATCTTGTCTAGCTAAGATAGAATACGTAGATATATCGGGGAAAAAACACAAAAGAAAGGCAAAATGGGATAGAAGAAAAAATGAAATCTTCTTGTCATATCCCATTTAATTCAACATTTTAAAGTTTTGCTCACTTAGTTAACCAGACTATAAAATGATTATCAATATGTATCTGACACTGACATGCAACAACTATCAATATTGATATTGTAAGACTTGCAGTCGCTCTGTGTGTATATCCCCTGCTATAATCTGTCATTAATGATACGGTAGAATTAAAGAAAATGAATGGCTTTTCCTCTATTGTAAACACATTTTGATAATTTCTATGGATTGGTTTTCTGGGAAAACATTAAGTGTCCATGTTATTTGAAATTAAAGTCCGTGAAATTTAAGATTATCGATAAATTGCGTACAGGCCCTCCCATGTAAACCCTCTCAAACCACTGACGTTATGAATAATATGACACACCTTCAACGTCGTGGGCGTACCCCTCAGCAAAATTGCAGTAACCTCTCTTTTTGGACTTTGCCGGAACTTTCAGTTCTGAGGCCCACCCCTCAATAACGGCTTCTGAGATCGGAGGCACAGAAGAGAGTGATGTTGACCAAGCAGGCGAATCGCACTTGGCGGCCATATTGTTGTCAGGGAAGCACCCTCAGCCTCGTTTTCGAATTTCATGGCGGAAGCGTGAATAGAGCCTATTGCAAGTCCTAGAAGAACGAAATTGCTATATGATATATTTTAATTCATTATTTGCTCTACTGCATGTTACTTGTATTAACATATGATATTTACATTACATTATCAGGTGATATAAATGCTGCTGTTATTAATACCCTATGATTAAACGTAACACTGATCATATAATACTAATGGAATGCGTACATATATGGATATCACCCTATAGTAAAACTAAACATGAAGGATGCATGGGACATTCTTTCAAATTTACCTCTTGGCTTAAAAATGAGTTGCCATAAATATTTCAATTATACTAAAATGTCATCTGTTAACGATTATTAATTACTAAACCTTAGTGTCACTATCAACAATGTACACTTGTCATCGATACACCAAATAATGCATACATGTTGTAATGTTGTCTCCACACAAAAACATCTATGTACATGAATGTTTCTTATTTACAGGTCAATATTGCTCTAACCTTCTTCAGTAACTCAGCCTCGTGGGTAAAACTGGCAGAAGAGTCCCATATGGCGAAATCACAGATGTATTGGCTTATAGCAGGTATTTTGCTCCTCCCCATTAAAGTATTATTAAATTTTATACGGAATATATTGTTGAAGGATACATTGTTTTTTGTTATATTTCGCAATCGCGATAGTTCATAATTTATCTCCGCTGTATCTATTCCAAAATAACGAATTTTCTTGAATAATGGAGGTAGTGAACATCAACCTCTAGATTTTAATATTTATTGCGTTCAGTTTGGATTTTTCTCATACGCCTTTTGTTCTCTAAAATTTAGACCCGTAGCATCACTGAAGAGTCCTAGAAAGATGAAACAGCTGTATGATGCAGTTTAATTTATTGATTCGCTCTTTACTTCCATTCTTCTCGTTTAAAATTCAAATAATTATACAATTGTTCTATAAACTTGAGTGCCTTTTTACAATCATACAGCATGACTTATGTGCACTTGAAAATTGCCAACGACCTTATGATCAATTCTGCTTATGTTGATATTCTTAATCTCTAAAACATATATCAAACGTTAAAATTATGTTTCTTCTAGATCGGTCTTACTGGAGTGCATGGGATCCACATAATGTGGCTGAAGGTCTGTTTGCTCTCGCTAACGTAATCAGTTTTACGAGAGTGTCCTATGTCCTTCCCGCCAATGAGCTGTTTGGACCAATGCAGATTTCTCTGGCAAAGATGATTTCTGTAAGTTTGAATTGTTTAATTTTCGAAGCTTTAAATGTAAGGATTTAACATAAATGACAACTAAGCTGCTCTGGATTCGTATTTTAAAATATTTGATTAGATGTAGTTTAAGCGACAAGAAACAACACGGGAATGTGGGAATAACTTGTGTTGCTTAATTTGAATAATTGTCAATATTCTAGTAGACGATATAAGTAAATTTAATTATTACGGTGTACGAATCATTATTGGGCATGGATCTCTGTGAGACAGAAACATTCAAACTATAAATAGAACTATTAGATAATCAAATTTGCCAACATGTTCATTGTTTTTAATTGTTGTGTTGATCGTGGCATTATGAAGTATTAATCATAACACAAAATTTCACTTGCGTATGTAGATAATTGTGAAAAATGAGCTTGTCGATAATTTAAGATGAACTTTTCTGTTCGATTGACTTTCTTAGTAATTTTGTTTAAAAGAAAAGAAAGTACTTGATTTTGTTATACATTCAAACACAAAATATTTTAACATTATGGAATCGCGAGGATATAATTGTATCATTATTTATTTCAGGATATTCTCAAATTCGGAGTAATCTTTTTGGTGGTTTTTCTTGCCTTCATGGTTGGATTACACAACCTGTATTGGTACTACCCAGAGGAGATGAGAAAACACGTCATCTTTATGAAAAATACAGTCAACAGTCACGACACGGCTGCTGGTAAATACTTTGGCATGTAAGTATGGATGTTTATGTTTGATGTTAATGTTTGATGTTTATGTTTGATGTTTGTTCTCATGCCTTATTTATGCATTGTTGTTTACATAGTTATCATTTAGAAATGTTACATAACGTTGTAGTTCATGAATATGGAAAACACATTAATATTAAATGTAACCATGAAATAACGATAGTCGTATGTTTCGGACGATAGTTCTACTATAGGAATAATACTATAATGTAATCGTTATGTATTGTTACTTTATCATGTTAAAAGCACCCACCATGAGATAGGATCCTATTGTTACTGTTTTTCTTTAAGCATTGCCCTTTTCATAATTATATATGAAAATCTTTTCTTCAATAAGTGGAAGTAGTCCTCTAAAATAGCATTTCAAACTCTTGTGATTTCAATGCCATCTCGAACACGATGTACCTCAGTGAAAAAAAAGCTTAATACGGGTTATTTGTGTGATGAAGGTGAGAGTATAGTCATCAACCCGCCCTATATATTTGGCTAACCGATTGTGATTTTAAAACTTCTATTTATTGTATATCATTAACCTTATGAAACTCCTGCCTCGTTCCTGCTCTCTGAAATTATGTCATCAACAGTTTTCTGTGTGGTTAAGATGATTTTTTTTCATCAACTGTTTGATTTTCATAAAAAAGGAATACATTTTGTGTCATTCATACGATTGACACATATTAATTTTAGAGTCAATATAAATATTAATTTGAAGTATCGTTAACATACCGCAGTGAAAACAATTTCATTATAGTCCACACATTACATTCCGCACGGTATTCTGGTCTCTGTTTGGCCGAGGGGAGACAACAGCGGTTGAGCTTGGAGCGTACGGCCATATTTTTACACAAACAGTTGGTTATTGGATCTTTGGAGTCTACAACATTGCAACAGTCATAGTTCTCCTCAATATGCTTATTGCTATGATGTCACAGTCGTTTGAGACTATCCAGGTATGAGTTTTATATTACGTAGATAAACCTAGAAATAGATTTTTTGCCAGTTTTGAAATACGTATACCAACATTTAACTTGCTTAATCCATGGTTACTGTAAACTTAGATATTTGCCACTGAAAATCTTTGACACTCATAAACATCTGTTTGACCTGTTTCAACAAATCTAGTTTTTCATTTTGTCATAATCACTTTAAAAACCCAAACCAAGATTTGAGTACTTAGGTCCTAACCATCAGAAATAAGGAAATAGCAATTCAAAGAAAGTTTTGTAATTTTTGAACATGCTAGATAAGAATCGTTTGATAGCAATAATTCATTAAGGTATTCAGTATCATGTTTTAGTAGACCTTTTTAATCATTCGCAGCCGTTATCTAGATGTCTTTAGATTAGGCTTATGCCAACTTTAACCTAACACAGAAGTGTTACTCTATCTTTATGTTCGGTATAAAAATGGCATCAGATGGTGCTCATTGTATTCGATTTTGTCACACAGGGTGAAGCAGACACGGAGTGGAAATTTGCTCGCAGTAAGCTGTATATGGAATACATAAAGGATGATGCGACTCTGCCTATACCATTCAACATTGTACCAACACCAAAGTTTTTCTACAATACGGCTAGATTTTTCTGGAAAATGTTGGTGAAGAAGGACGATCAAGATGAGCCCCATCCAATACATCCCGGACGTGTCAAGGACATTGAGATGTTCAATATGAGTCCAGGAGCTACTAACTCGGTATGGAGGTTATTACGTACTAAAAATTACCCATAGGACATCTCAGTGGATTAGATATTTAAATAAAGTCAAATAATATTGCAAAGTGTAGCACCCTATAAGGAACTATAATGCTTTCCTGAAGACGTAAATTGATACAATTTTGGGACTTGAAATGGTTCATCCAACCAAGGAACTCAATCAGTATGGTGTGCTCTAGTGATATGTTGTTACATAGGGTTGATTATTTGTGAAACAAATCCGATAGAATAAATCTTGAAGCATAAAACATCATTAAAATACCAATATGCCAATGTAATCCCAATCCAAACTCAAATTCCCTTAAAATAGGGCAAAATATGAGCAACCGAAAGATTTACTTGGAGACTCCTGAAAAGCACAAAGAGAATAAGAGCAGGTGTTCCTGAAGAATAAGCATCTTCTCTTTCATTGACAATGAAAACCTTGGTCAGTTCAAGTATGTAATGTCACGTTCTCAAATAAGAGTAAGTTATACAACAACGGGATCAACAGGCTAGCTAACGAACAGCAAACAAGTCCAACGTTATATCTCACAAAGAAAAATGATATTTCTTAATGAGATTACAATGGAGATTATAAAACTTTCCCAAAATTTCCATCAACCTGCATCCGTTGAAACCACGTTTGGTAAACAAAGGAGCATTAACAGTTTATTCGATATAATTGGTAGGATTGAACAAAGAACAATGTTACAAAAACACTGGAGTGCAAACACTTGAAGTGTTGTTTTGTTTCAAAGATAAATGTTTTCTGCACTTCAAACAATATGATGCAATATGTAAAAATTGGTGTCGGAATGAAAAATTATCTTTTTTCGTTTTTGAAAAATCGAGTGTTTATGTTCAAACGCCAGTCACCTTTGAAATACTAATCTTTATTTCACACAAATCATCTGATCATTTAACTTATTGTAATCATATTTAAATATACAGGCTGCCCCTGAGGCGAAGGTAATAGACATGTACATACATATGTCATTCTTTTTGTCATATTTTGGTGTTTTCAATAGCCTTGTAATTGCCTTCATGTATGTTTATGATTTATTTTATGTTTCTCATAACCCATACCTGATATTTTTCTTAAAACAAGAGGCGAGATTTACGCCTTAATGATTCTTTAAGGGCAGATGTTTCTCTGAATCGGACTGATTGTCATAGATTTTGCTTTTCATCTTTGTTTTGGTATTACATCTGAATTTTTAAAATAGTTTTTTCCTTAACCAGATAACCTGCAAAATAATGCGAGTAAACTTAAACTGACTGGTTTCTTTCTTGCTACATGCTTTAACTCTTTTGATCAGATCAATATAATGTCATAACCTTGTTGCTATTTGATGGCTTTCCTAATGGTACAAAGGTGTCGTACAAGACTGAAAACTAACGAATTCCCTTTATCTAGCGGGTAAAGGGTATGTAAAAGAGAAGCGATCTTATTGTTTAGCGGTATAGGACAGTCACAGCTCACCAATCGTTTATAACAGAAGATATTCAATGAAGAATACCTAATATTTTTTCTTCATGTTTCTGCAATTTGTATATTTCCCTGTTTCCACAGGTTCTAACAATTTCCCTGCTTGTTGTTCATCTAGATTAGTACTTTTTATTCATGTTCCTCCATACTACAACAAACATTTCAGGCATTCTATATAATACCAACGTGTTACGGAATTTTGTAATCTAACACGCTGGAATATTGAAAACTGACAGTGTAAAATTACTCTATTTCACGTTATACACGAGAAGTTTAATCTGTTTTCTAAATATGTCTAATAATGCAAGATCATGGTGTCGTCCCTTCCAGTAAAACATGTACCAACTTTATATTGTCGCCAGTTCTTCTCTTTTCGTTGTGTTTTTAATCGTGTCGTAACTTCTGGAAATGATAATATGAATTCAAATTGTGAACTCAGCTGTAATATGATACTTTATGTAAACAATTAATAGGACATTTAATACAATTAAAACGATTCATGTTTTTTTTTTTTATATCAAATTGTTTACAAAATACGGACAAGTTTTCCATTGTATGTAAAAGCATGTTTCCTGTAGTTTTGTTAGAACAATGGTTAACGTTCACTATTTTTTTTTAATTTGTGCTTCAAGTATAGTCAATATATATATACATCAATATATATTTTGCGTTCTGAACCTTGATAATCTCGCAACAAATCAAAAGCACAAATGACTAAAATGAAATTATTTCGATCCATGTCTGATCACTTATTTTGTCGACAACTCCACGTTTGATTTCATATTTAGCCGCCAGAGAGACGCGGTCCAGTTTGGTCACAAAACAGTCGCGCAGCAAACCAAACAAAGGGGATTAAGGTTTTCCAGGATCGAATTCACACCACAAATGGATTTGTTCGCAATGATTCCGATCCGAGCCTATTTTCAGAGAAGCTAACATACAAAGTAAGAACATGGTCAATGTCAATGTAGAATTAGTTCTAAGTATTCACCATATTGTGTTTAAAGGAAAAATGAATCCATCTTTATTTGTCACTTATGAAATTTGGTCTTTGTTCAATTCGATGAATTTTCATGGCAAAGCAAAGGCTATAACAGGAAAATGCAAATGAAATTAAAATACAACGAAAAGTGTGAAAATAAATTCTATGCATTCACTTTTTAAAATGTGTTCTATTAACGAAATAATGACGTCATCACTAACTGTTGTCTTTTGTAATTACAGAGGGTGATGAAGAGGATAGTAAAACGGTACATCTTTGACGTTCAACGTGAAGATGACACTGGGGAATGTACGTACCTATCAAAGTTTGTTAAGGAAATGCATAGTACATGTAATCATTAGACTAATAGTGAATCATGGATGTTTTTAGGATGGAATTTCAATGTAATTTCCCAGATTTTTAAGTATTTCTTACTAACTTATCTAAAATTTCTGACAAATTTTAAGTAACAAATAAAATGTGTATAATTTATTACTATATTAATGAATTAATTAATCTGGCATTTTTACTGATATGTATGGTCTGTGAAATGTGGAACATGACCTTAACAGTTTAAAATTAAAATAAAAGTTTATGAAATATCAAATATATAGACTCAGTGAGCATCAGATTTTAACATGTAGAGGTTTTGAATGCTGTTATATAAACATATTTGAAATGGCAACAATAGTGTAATTCTTTTGCAGTTTCTAATAGTGTCTTTTTCCAAAATGATCAGTATGCAATTTGTAGAGAATGTGTGTGCAGCATATTAATGTCATATAACTATCATAGTGAATAATATTGAGCTGTTATTGGATTATATCTGGTGTTTCATACACCAGTAATCACTAGCAGTTTAAGCCGTATATTACATTTGCCAGTGATTACCGCCAGATTTGAATGCATTTTACGTTAAGCTTTCCTAAACAATATTCTGTAAAATAATAATTTTCGTGGGATTTCAGTATCATTGATTTCGCGGGTACTCTTTTTTCATGATAGGTTAATACAGACACGAATTATTACATTTAGTAGCAGTAGCGTTATTGTTAACTCATGATATTAACGAAATTTGAGAAGATATACAATTTTACAGTATTTCATGGTAAGTATTCATGTGCCCTTACAACCATATTTCATGGCATTTTAATTGAGAGATGATTACAGACGAATGTCACAAAATATGAAGTTAAGAAGTCATGGCAGATTTTTTTCACAGAAAACTCTATCAAGTAGCTGTCCTTGATCAATTCCTTTGTTTGGCTGTCCTATATATTCGGCAGTAGTTTGAGACAGATTTCCCTTATATGGTATTTATGCAGGAAGTATTGACTGTATGTTTCAATGGGCAAAAAATCATCGATAAAGTTAATTGTGTATTGATGTGACAGGTATTGATCGGCTAATCAGTTACGATTAATGTTTTATTAAGTTATAAGCATATTGGTCAATGATTTATGATAACTAGAGTATTATAATTACACAATTGACAAGCTATGTTTATAGATATTTAAACTCTCATTTTCTTTTAGCTAATGAGAACCTAGATAGCTGAAGTGAAGGATATGACAAGATTCATTCACAAAAGAAATATAGTGATTTGTTTTTACTCGTACATTTTCTTAATCATTAACCGGATATCTTGTTTCGGAGTATATTGTGCTTGTTCATATCGTTTTAGCATCAACGCAGTTTTTATTTTTGTACATTTCTTACGAATATACAAGTCATTTTAAGTCTGTATGTTGTCTGGTTTTGTTTACATGTTATAAATTGAACTATTATCAATACTATTGGTCATCAAAACGCACCTGATATTTTGGAATTTGTCAGAAATTCAGAGATGTTTAAGGTGAATTGCCTAGAAAAATATGTCTATGAATGTTCAATGTTTGTGGTGTATATCTTAAACCACACTGACAAAAGCATTTAACAGTTGCGGATTGAACATCTGAAATCGGCCTCCTCAATTTTCGATTGATTGCCATAATCTCTACTATCCACATCAAAATAATAGTTTGTTTTGCACGTTTGAAAGCAACCAACAAAATAAATTTGTGTTACAGTTTTGTGGCGTTTGGTTCTGTATCAGTGTATTAGTTGTGTTGTGCTTAACATATATAATTATTCTGTGTGTTTTACTGTCAATCCAACACTCTCGAATATCTCTTTAAATAATTGTTTATTTTCCATCACTATTGACGTAATAGACCTCACAATACCTAAAAATGCAGTTTAACCGTGTGGTTTATAACAACAGCATAGCATTGACAAATTATACCGAAAAGCGAACCAAGCTATCCGATTATGTGAAACTGATCCTTGACATCGTTGATAGAAGTAGCGTTGCGTGTTGATAGTATCACATATTATACGTCAATATTTTAGTGGAATGTATAGATAAATTTCTACTACCAATGCACAACTTTAAATCATGAAATTGAAATCAAGCAAAAATCATATTTTTTTTTTTCAATCGAAAGAGGAAAATGTTTTGTCCAATGGTAATAACGATTTGGTTTTTGTCTTCAGACGAAAATTGGTTATCCATAACACTTGTGAATGTGTCTGTCTCTACTGTGATGTTAAGCTTTATTTCATTGTGTCCTCTGTGCTCTGTCCTATGTATCATCGATGCTTTGTGCAATAAAATTACCTTCACAGTTGGTTATTTTCATTTATTTTCACATATCGATATATAGCATTCGAAATATGAAAAAAAAAAATACAATAGAATTTCGATTTAGTGAATTCGCAGTTATTTGTTCAAGGATAATGTAAAACTTCTTTAATTGAAAAAGAAATCATTGACTCTGTTGAATGAAAGAGTTGATGTGTTGCAATTTAAAGCCAGGTGGTAAAATTTTATTTCTGAAAAAAAAAATGGGAAAACCAAGAAAAAAGTTCCTGTAAATACGAATTGGGTACAGAATTAAACCAACCTATGTACCGTCATCTATATTGAATCTTGATTATTTATATTTAACTTTGCAGGTGACTTCGATGAATTAAAACAAGATATTTCAAGCTTCCGCTATGAAATGTTAAACCATTTATCACAGCGTCAACGTGAAGCGAAGGAGACGTTTGAAAGAGTAGATGCCTTTGAATACAAAATGGATACTCTTTTACAACAACAAGCAATGTGGCTTAAAGCAATTGCTAAAAGTGATTCAGACTTTAAATTAACCAATTTGATAGATCCGAAGGGTATATCTAAGGCTACTACAGTTTCACAGGAAAGTGCTATTTACGATTGTAATGAGGAAAATAATGATGATGTAGGGGAAAGTGATCGGAAGTCGAATATTGGTGTGTTGCATGATATTCCCGAAGAAGAAAAAGCGCCAGTGTCAACTGAACATAGGTTGCAAAGACAACGAGCAGACTGTGATACAGAAGAATGTGAAACAGCTGATATCACCGTAGAAGTGAATATTGATGGTGAATGTGATATTGTGAACGAACGTTTATGAATTTTCTAGAGGTGATTTAATATTACCTAACCGGAAGTGCCTGATTATCTTCGTTTTACCTCATTACAATCAAAAGATGGATGCAGTACTTTTGTTGGCATTTCATTTATACTGATATTTCGTACACAGCCCGACAAGTATATTATAAAAAGAAAATATACATATGTACTTTTCGAAATGAATGTTACAATGAGATGAACATTCGTTTCCAATGAAAATGTGTGATTTTGTATTTGTCGCTTACTTTTTAAGTTCTACAATGAATGAAGGCGTCAAATGCAGATACGCTGTGATATTTGCCTGCATACTTATGTTTGAAAAAGCAAAGGTCACGATGTGTGAAGCAATTTTAATATGTTATATATTTACAGTAAATGTTGCATGTTGATAAAATTGACGTCTTGGAAGTGTTATAAAATAAGTCAAAGCAAATTATCTACCCATCTAAACATAATTTTTATCAAGAGTTTCTAAATGAATGTGTAACTATGGCTTCCATCTACATATAATATACAGCACTTTCATATGTACAAACATAGTGCCTATTCTCATAGTCATCAAACAAATGATAGGAATAAGTTAGCTCCTGTGAAATATACTATTGCATTGTTGGTTACAATCATGATATCACTTCCGATTGTGTAATTAATGGCGTCACAAATGAAACATATTTGATGTAAAAAACCAATGATTCATGTTACACATCTGCAAGAGCCGTTTAAATTAATTAATATTTGTGATATACCTTATTTGGAATACACATCAAACAATGTTATATTATATACATATGATTTAAACATATGCTATTCTATCTGTTTATTGTCATATAAAAGCAGGAATATCTGTTCTAATTAATCAATGCTACGTCATGTTAATGTTCATGTTAAATATCAGCAGAGTTTTGCACATATTACACTACAGGTTATTTACATATACTACTAAATATCAAAAATGTACCTGCATATGTAGTACCAATTTGAAATCTTTATGACACCAAGTGATGAAATAGAGAGCCTCCATTGGTTATTTACATGAATTTTACAAAGTCACGGGACAAAATAATGTTTTTACCAGACAGTCATTTCTGTTCTAGATGGATGTTATATTATGACATGATAATGTAATTGACGTCACAGATAACAACTTTGTAAACGTTTGATGCCAAATTTGTCTCTTAGAATGATTCCTTGAATTTATAAAGATTTAAGTTTAAATGTCTTCTGTTTAATACAGTTATTGTGTTACTTTGTTTTTCATAATGCATGTTTTTTTCATCTAGTCACCGATTACTATTTTAATTCTCATGTCGGCATTTTATTTCTTCAAACACGCTTTCTGTGAAAGCAACGAGTTTAATATTAATGTCCTAATATGTGTATTGCATTTGAATGGCTCGGCTAAAGGGAACAAGTTCTAGCACTTCTGCCTAATAAACAGCTGAAGAAGGTAACACGAAAAAGTTAAATAATACCGTTGGGGATAATAAATATCTAACATATATGTACATTACAATCTCGATATACTGTCATTTTCAGTCGAATTAAAATCTGGCGTTATAACGTATTTGGCGATACAACATGTGACAATATATTGAGGATGTACTATTTATGAAATCAGTATTGAAAGCATGATATCTGTATATCTATACAATGTAGTTTACATGTATCTTTTGTTAAATCATATCATCGCCGACCCCCCTTTTTTTCTTTTTTCTTTAAATCAGCCATGTAATGTTATAACATTCCAAAACCTTATTTATATCCTTCAAATAGTTCAAACCACTTTTGGAAGATCATTGGTTGGTTTATTGTGACGTAATGTGGTTTCCCATCATGCCTGGTCCAGCGTGCCGAATGTTTACTCTTGATATATATATATAGAGACATCTGACTTCGCTCTTTGTGGCTTATCCTTATCACCTGAGAAATAAATTTAGTCGAATATATATAGCAAAAGCAACAACTTTCAAGTTAGCTTCGTTTACTTTAATATATAAACCTTCCACAAAATATTAACTTTTTCAAATAATGTTTTAGTTCGGCTGTTAAAACGGAATATACATATATAGAGGAACTTTGACTGGCGAACACATTATGATAATTATTATCATGTTTTAGCTAATTAGAAGATGTGGCACTTCTGTATACTCAATGCATCCATTTCTTTCGAGCTTTTTATGAAAATTTGAAATGGGTAGATCATCTATTACATTGCTGTTTAATTGGAAATGCACATTTTGTATCATTGCATGAGCATACGTGTTGTTTTTCAAGCTTTTAATCCCCTACCCGATTGTTTTAAGTCACAATCATTTATATCGAATGATTAAGTAACTTTAAGTAATTATTGTATATCATGATCACGTCTTGTTTGGGTAAGTCGCAATGGACATATTGAACTGTACAGATATGTCATCTGAATAACCGAAGGTACAAATGGAAAATAAAGTTTTCTCTGTAATGCAAGATTAACTGTGTTGAATTCCGTTTTAATTTTGACTTTTTTTCTGTTTTTCGAGTACAATTTCAAGAATGATATTGAAACATTGCAAATGTTTCTTCGCTACAAGAGACAGATGATACGATCGGTGATCGTCAGTTAAAAAACCGAGGAGCGAACCGATGGTTTGAAAACGTTTGATAACCATTGTATCAATTATAGAAGCCATGCTATATCGTACATAAAGGGATATAAAACCTATTCGGAAGGTACTAAAATATGCAGCGATACAATGCAGAACGAAATTATTATAGAATGCGGTATAGAGAGAGTTGTATTCCTGCCAAGATCAGAGTTGATAAAAATGGCTGTCATTGGTGGGCTCTCTAAGCATTACAAATGGTGTCTTGCATTCAGTGTGATACCAGTTGCTCCAAGGTTGGTTATAATTAACCACTGGTTAGTACAAATTGTTTCGACTGTGTATTTCTCTCGATCACAATGGAAACACTTATCTTTAATACTTGTCACCTAAAAATTACTGCCTTGCCACATACTGATTATATTTCTTATTGTATAGGTTTGAAGTCATAAATAGATAATGTTCAGTTTATACACATGTAAATGACAGCTACATGTGTATATTTTATTCAGTACTTTCAATACTTTGACGCTTGTCAGATTCTCTGGGATCCAGGAGGACAAAGATGAGATACCACAGCCAAAATCGTGGCGGCTGTTACTGCTGCTGGGGTGGACTTAAATCCTGCCGATGTGGAGCGTTCCCATAGTGTTGGTAAATCCAGTCAGCAGGGCAGTCACCAGACTTATAGACCACGCCTGATCATCGCGCGCCTGAAATCAGTGGATGCCAAGTTTCGGCTTCTGAAAACTAGTAAGGCTTTTCGTGACTGTCCTCGCTTTACCCATGTGTCCGTTAACGAGGATCTCACCAAACACAGAAATGAACTGGCCTTTCATGCGCGTAAGCTCGCTAAGTCGCACAAAATTTTCCAGTCCTGGACAACGAACGGAAAAGTAATGATTAAAGACAAATCCTCGCGTGTTTGTCAAGTCCGCACTGTGTCTGATCTCGTCCCGTTTGGTCATGTATCTGCACCCTCTCCTCATGAATGAAACTGACACAAGTGTATTGTATATATAGGAATGTTCTGTTTTTCCCAGTTAATACTAGTTCAGTTTATAAACATTTTTTTAATTAATTTTCAGTTGCATATAATTTGAAACCTTTATATCTGTCTAGATTGCTCCTTTGATTTATATATCTATGTTGTAGTTGTGATATCCTGCTATTTACGTGTGTACATGCACTCGTACACTCGTGCGCCCGTCTTGTTGAATTTACACAATACAGCCATTTGTGATTGCTATTTCATGCTAATCTTTCTTACGTTTCACTCGTATACAAATTAACTTCTTTGTACATGTACGAAGTTCTGTTACATTTTAAAAGGCTCTGCGCTGTCTTTTGTGGGCGTGTCTGTTTACGTTTGAATGGCCAATGAAATGTTAGCAAGCAATTTAAATTTGCATTGCACGTAAACAAGTTTGAACTGCTCCGTATTCCATTGCCGCTCACGTGTATGTATGTGCACCCATTCACTCACTGGGCTACTCCATGTCACCGAGTGTGCAGGTACAAGAAGTTGCGCAATTCTTAGACTAACATATTACGGAAGAAATCGTCGAAGGTCAGTTCAGTATCCATATCATAAGCCCCTTATTTTAGACTCGGCTTCCAATATTATAATTGTCTGAAAGTTGTGTTTTAGTAAGGTATCATCTGCCCGGCACCTATCCATCGATAATTCCAGATGGAATAGTCCGTGTTGCTGGTTGGGTCAGTCAGGTGAGGTGTTTTTATAAGATCAGCCGACTCTTGGCTTCTCTAAAATAACACACATAGCTTGTTAGCTATACATACTACGTAAAGCAGTACAGATTTGGCCAGTGCTTAGTTGGTTGATTTTGAAAATTTTAATGATCGAACGTAACGTTTTGGTAATTGTTTCTTTTGCTAATTTTTTTTTTACATTAAACCGACCTGTATTTACCTGAATAGTTCTATAAATCTGTTGTCAGGTTCTATCGGTCGTTAGCCAATGTCCACGAGAAATTTGCATATGTAAACACTGCCTGATAGCTCTTGGTACATGAGTACGCGTACACATGCACATCCGTTGGTCGATGTCATATCTTTATTCGCGCGTATATTAATATCACTACACGTGCATCATAATTAATATTACTTTTGAATTGATATCTTCATATCTCTTTGGTGAACTTAATTATTTTCCTGGTTTTTTTTTTTTTTTTTCTCATTGGTAATTGATTTATGGTATGATGTCACTTGCCTGACACCCTAGCTATCACTACATACAGATGGAATAATCTGTGTTATTGGCTGAGTCTGTCAGATAACATGTTTTATACGATCAGCTAATTCAAGTCGTGTTGTTCTCCAGCACATGTGTACTGTAGCTCGCCAACACCAAATAGAGCTCATAGATGTCCAGTTGCTCGATGGCTTGATTACTGTACCCTTATTCCAGCTATTTTCGCTTATGAAATTATCAGAATAAGTTAAAATATGCCGCTTCCTAAACTATACTTTTTGATATGGAATCCGTTAATCTTGTCTATCTCCATTAAGTTCGACTCAAAGTCCTATTAGAAGAATATTTTTACAATGAACTACCATCATCTATTCGCTTCGTCTGTCGGTAACCAATGAACGGTGACCGCGAGTAATTTGCATATATGTAAATACTATGACTGTTTTGCGTATGTACATATTCAGTATGCATGCATGTCTGCATGTCGAGTCCATATCATTGAGTATACTGGAACTACCTTTGTTCATATTACATTGTAATTAT